TCGACCGAAGACCGCTTTTGTCACCCCCGACGGCCTCTACGAGTTCAACGTTATGCCGTTTGGGCTGTGCAATGCGCCCGCCACCTTTGAGCGCATGATGGATACAGTTCTGCGTGACCTGAAATGGCACACGTGCCTGTGCTACCTCGATGACGTCGTCGTTTTCGCTCCTGACTTCTCGACGCACCTTCAACGCCTTCGGCATGTTTTAACGCGTCTGAGCAACGCCAGTCTGCAACTGAACCTAAAGAAGTGCCAATTTGCAGCTCGGCAGCTGACAATACTCGGCTACGTCGTGTCCAAGGACGGAATTCTCCCTGATCCAGCCAAGCTTCGGGCCGTGACCGAGTTCCCCAAGCCGACATCCGTGAAGGAACTGCGCAGTTTCGTAGGACTGTGTTCCTACTTTCGGCGCTTCATTCGAAACTTCGCGACTATCATATCGCCGCTGACGAAGCTTCTCGGAAGTAACGGGCCTCTCCATTCGTGGTCCTCACAGTGCGACGACGCTTTCAGAACACTTCGTCGTTTGTTGACGTCGCCTCCCATACTCCGCCACTACGACCCTAAGGCCCCTACAGAGGTACACACAGATGCCAGTGGTGTCGGCCTCGGCGCTGTCCTTGCGCAGCGCAAACCAGGGTTCCCGGAATATGTCGTGGCGTACGCGAGCCGTACGCTTACTAAAGCCGAGACTAATTACACAGTCACCGAGAAAGAATGTTTGGCAATCGTCTGGGCCCTTGCAAAGTTCCGACCTTATTTGTATGGTCGCCCATTTGATGTCGTCACCGACCACCACGCACTATGCTGGTTGTCGTCATTGAAAGATCCCTCAGGCCGCCTCGCCCGGTGGGCACTTCGCCTGCAAGACTATGACATCCGCGTGCTGTACCGCAATGGAAGGCAACATGCTGACGCCGACGCCCTGTCGCGCTCTCCCTTGCCTGACGACAATGCCAACAACTCAGTGTCTCACCTTGCCATTTCTTCGATTAGCATTCATGCCATTGCTACTGAACAGCGCAAGGATCAATGGATTGCCTCACTTATTGACTTGCTGACTGATCCATCCACTCCATCCACTCGCGCGTTGCGTCGTCAAGCCCACCATTTCGCCGTTCGCGACGACCTCCTCCATCGACGCAATTACAACGGTGACGGCCGCCAGTGGCTACTAGTCATACCTCGCAGTCTGCGCTCTGACATATGCGAATTCTTTCATTCTGATCCGCAGTGTGCGCACTCCGGGGTATCGAAGACTTACCACCGCATTCGCCAACGGTACTTTTGGCGCGGCATGTACCGCTACGTGCAGAAATTCGTTCGCTCCTGCATAGAATGTCAGCGCCGCAAAACTTCAACGCACCTGTCGCCGGTAGGTCTGCAACCTCTACCTTGTCCTGCCAGGCCGTTTGGGCGCGTTGGCATCGATTTGTATGGGCCACTTCCACTAACGTCGGCTGGTAACCGCTGGGCCATTGTTGCTGTGGACCACCTCACGCGATACGCCGAAACGGCCGCTCTTCCGGCGGCTACAGCGAGCGATGTGGCCTCCTTTCTGCTCCAACGATTCATTCTGCGACACGGCCCACCCCAGGAACTGCTCAGTGACCGAGGCCGTGTCTTCCTGTCTGAAGTCGTTGAAGCCATTCTCAAAGAGTGCAACGTTGTTCACCGCAAAACTGCTGCTTACAACCCGCAGACGAATGGCCTCACAGAACTCTTCAACCGTACGCTCGGCGACATGCTCTCCAAGTACGTCACCGCCGATCACACAAATTGGGATTCCATTCTACCCTTCGTCACCTACGCATATAATACCGCCCCTCAGAGCACTACTGGCTTTTCACCTTTCTTTTTATTATATGGAAGGCACCCGTCACACACCATCGACACGATACTTCCGTACAGGCCAGATCCGTCTGAGTGGGCACCTATTCCTGCTACAGCCAAGCTTGCTGAAGAGTGTCGAGAGCTTGCAAAGACGTTTACTGCGCATGATCAAGAGCGGCAAAAAAGCATTCGCGCTGACGCCAGCACTACTGCGCCCACGTTCCTCCCTGGAGCGCTCGTCTGGCTCTCGATCCCTACTACTGCAACTGGCCTATCTTCAAAACTATTGCCCAAATACGAAGGCCCCTACCGTGTCGTGAAATGCACTTCCCCAGTCAACTACTTGATTGAACCCATCGAACAATCTTCGGACATGCGTCGTCGAGGACGCGACATTGTTAACGTGAAGCGCCTCAAGGCCTACCATGACCCGCTCATTGTAACCAGCTGCTAGGTCGCCAGGCGGCTCCCTTTTCGTACCCGGGGTAGTTGTGGTAAAGCCTTTGAACAGTGGGTCGTCCTCTTCAGCGCCTTCTAGTGGGTCGCCCTTTTCTTAAGAAGAAGAGCAGCTCGTGCAGAGAGTCGATCCCCGAATTGACTGTCGCTGTCGTGAATCATCGCTGAGTGTCCGCCAATAAACCGCTTAACACTGTGTTATCTGTATCACATGATTGTTTTTTTTATGTTGTTACCTCAGAGCTGACCTGTACACTTTTTTATGTTGCACATTGTATTGGACCGTCCACTAGCCACTTTAGGCTATCGGTCCAAATAATCTCTGTAATTGCATATATCTATTTATGAAAATAAAGCTTCATTGATTGATTGATTGATTGATTCAACAACAGAGAAAGAATGCCTCGCCGTCGTATGGGCAGTAATGAAATTTCGCCCGTACTTGTATGGCCGACACTTCAAAGTTATTAGTGACCATCACTCCCTTTGCTGGTTAACTAATCTAAAAGATCCCACCGGCCGATTAGCGCGTTGGAGCCTAAAACTGCAAGAGTTTGACATGACGGTCGTGCACAAGTCAGGCAAGCGACATATGGACGCTGACTGTCTGTGCCGTTCACCCATTGAGTCGGCAACCCTACCCGAGGAGGAGGAAACGGCATTTCTCGGTGTCCTCGACACGACCACCATTGCGCAGCAACAACGTGACAACACTGAGTTGCTTGGCTTAATTAACTACTTGGAAGGCAGATCTCAGAAGGCGCCAAGAGTTTTCGCAAGAGTATTGTCATCGTTTTGTTTACGGGGCGGAGTACTTTACAAAAGAAACCTTTCGTCGACAGGATCCGCCTATCTGCTCGTCATACCAGCAGCCCTTCGTACCGAAATACTCAAAGCATGCCACAACGAGGTGACCTCTGGCCATTTGGGTTACATGAGAACATTGGCCAGAGTACAGCAAAGGTATTACTGGCCGAGACTAACCACAGCCGTGAAGCACCACGTTCGTACCTGTCTCGACTGCCAGCGACGCAAGTCACCACCGACTAAACCAGCTGGCCTACTGCAACCCGTGCAGGTCATAACAGCTCCATTCTACCAGATAGGCATGGACATTTTGGGCCCACTTCCTATTTCCACCGCAGGAAACCGCTGGGTTATCGTCGCGACGGATTATCTGACCCGTTATGCCAAGACAAAAGCTATTCCGAGACGTACAGCAGCGGAGGTGGCAAGATTTTTCATCGAAAATATTGTACTGAGGCATGGTGCACCAACCGTCGTGATCACAGACAGAGGAACCGCATTTACGGCAGCTCTCTTGGATCACGTCCTGATGCTGAGTGGAACAACGCATCGTAAGACCACTGCCTACCACCCACAAACAAATGGGCTGACGGAGCGTCTGAACAAAACCATTGAAGACATGCTTTCGATGTACGTAGACATTGAACACAAAAATTGGGATGAAATCTTGCCATACATAACGTTTGCGTACAACACGGCCAAGCAAGAAACGACCCGCATGACCCCGTTCAGCCTCGTTCATGGACGAGAAGTACGAACTATGTTAGATGCGATGCTGCTGCACGAAAGTGATGACATCGACCCAGACGCCAACACGTTTACGGAACGCGCGGAAGAAGCTAGACAACTGGCACGTTTACGGATCCGCCAGCAGCAAGAGTACGATGCAGGCCGCTACAATGCTCACCGCAGAGCAGTTGTCTATCAAACTGGCGACAAAGTATGGATTTGGACACCCGTACGGAAGCGAGGACTATCAGAAAAGCTCTTAAGAAGATACTTTGGGCCATACCGAGTGCTGCGACAACTGAGTGACGTCACTTACGAAGTTGTTCCCGACAGTTCGTGTAGTACCAATCGTCGCCAGCACCATCCTGAACTCGTTCACGTAGTGCGCATGAAGCCTTACGTCAGCGAGTGATTGCGTGAGACTTATCTTTTAACAAAAACTGCATTATTGACTTCGCATCGGGTCGATGCTCTTTGAGAGGGAGGCAAATGACCCGTGTCTACATGTGGACAAAAACGATGATGGGGGAATTTAGCGGACACCAGGTAGTGGGCCTCTGACTTGACGCGAGAACGAAGAAGATCTTGTGGCTCAGCTGTTGAGAACACGCTGCTTTCGCTGCCTCAAGGCGTACTTGTGCTTTGTTCGCGTTGTACTGCGACAATATATATATATATATATATATATATATATATATATATATATATATATATATATATATATATATATATATATATATATATATATATATTATATATATATATATATTATCCTTATGGAGCGACGGGTCGCAATTTCGAGTCATCGGTCTCACTCGGTACGGAAGTTGTTCTTCCTTGCAAATATTTTCTTTTGCACCTAACTCGGAATTTCACTGACGGACAACGCTGATTTTTCGCTCACAACTAACGACGCCGACACCATAATTCCACTAAATGAGCTCGTTATCCCCCGCTATGGCTTTCGTCGTCGCCCACCGCATACTGGCGGCCATCATGTGATAAGACGAGGCCGGATGCTAGCTTACAGTCTTCCTTTCCACGTAATCAGCAGCCCTCCAGCAGAGATGGATACGCCCTAATGGTGATAAAAATTCTGGTCTATAGTGTCCGATATTTTCACATAGAGTGTCTTCAGTCACAAAAATTTATGTATTTCGCTGGTGGTGCAGGTGGCGGCACTTTTCACCAACGCCGAGCTGATATTGAACTACTACGGGAACTCGCGGCGAGCTGCAATCTTGCACGGCGCTTTCTGCCTAAGCCGCGCCTACATCGCTGGCGGCAGGGTGCTGCTGGGCAACTACGCCCGCGAAGTGCTACCCGCAGTGGCACGTCCTCAAGCGGAAACCATCGCGTTGAATGTGGAAGCTGCTTTCTTGAAGCGCCTGTCCGCCTGGGCCGACTACGACTCCGACGTGAGCGTGATGAGGTATACGGTACTTCGCAAATGGTTCGGATGAGGTACGCTAATTGGTGGTGAGCTTGTTTGCGTGTTTACGAAAGGCTGAGATTGTACAAGTACAGCAACAGAGTTCTGCGTACATTGCTGATATGGAACCATTAACTGATAATAGTAGTCATTGCTGTTCTGTCAACTAAAACCACGATGAGATTTGGGAACGCTGTAGAAGAGGGCTACATAAGTTTTTACCATCTGATGTTTAACGTGCCCATGTGATAAGTATACGGGCGCATATCATTTCGCTTCCATAGAAATGGGGCCACCGCGGTCGGTATTCGATCCCGCGACCTTCGGGTCGACAGTCGGCATTCGATGAACTGAACCTTTAAAAAAGTCTTGGCTGAAAAGAGGGCCGGGACAATGAACATGGCAAGAAATCTATAGGTATACTCATGGTACAGTGTCAATTAGAGCATCTTTTGCCGAGTATGTATATACATTTGTTTCACACTGGTGGCCCTCCCACTGTACGGTGTCTGTGCGAGCTCTAACGTAGCACACGCGATGCTTAAGTTGATCATAACCTCAGTAATATTATCTGAATATCGAGAGCATCGGTAGGTATCGTGTTTGGTCCAGTAATACGGGTCTGTTATCGTTAAACTTCCGTATACTGCGCCATATAAACATACGCGCAACACTCCCATAGACACTCTGTACACAACAGAGACCTCGCATGCGAGGTCTCTGTTGCACAGGGATCAGGTCTGTTGCACCAGGTCTCTGGTGCATAGTGAATAGTTGTAGCTCCTTCTTCTTCTTTCTGACCCCGTGCGACTGCGATAATATGCTGCAGGTCGTGGAACTCCACCACGCTGTCTTTCAGCATGTTTGCGCCGGATCCTGAGGATAACGTCACCGACATCATCGTGGGAGAGATGAGTGACTCGTTCCTGCAGAACTGGCGCAACGCGTGGAGGTCCCGTATCACCCACCGCGGCTTGGACGTCAAGATCGCCATCACGGCCATCGAGACATTGTCATTCTCGGCTGACATAGGATACCGCAAAGACTTCATCCTGCTGCCTTATGTATTCTCCTTCCCCTATTACGACGTCAACGCCATGTCGTCCATCAACTACGGTGGGTTTGGCGCTAAGGTCAGTATACGATGTCCTGAATGAGTGACGAGCGTTACGTCTTGTCGTTCCTTCGGAAATGTTGGAAAAGCCAGTGTGCTTTCTCTTTGTGGCGTTGGTTCAGTTGTGTGTGAGAGAGGAAGATAAAGGAAAGACAGGAAGGTTAACCAAAAGAAGACTCCAGCTCGCTACCCTGTGCTTGGGAAGGAGATATTGGGTGCAAAAGAATGAAAGAGAAGAATAAGAGTTGGTGACAGCAGGGAAAACGATGGAATGACTAGAGCACTATCTTAGCACTATATAGTTCTCCACGAACAGTCAAAGTTTGTCGCTAAGGTCGGTTTCTAGCAGGAACCGCAACTATGCTCTCAGAGCAGCTCGTGATGCAGACAGGATAGGCCAGGGCCCCAGAATTTTCTTCTCTGTAAGAGAGTGGTTGTCCAGCTGGCCTATTGCGTTGCAGAGTTGTGTGATTTACAGCTGAACAAGTAGGGTGAATTGGTGGGGCAAAGACCATGGCTCTACAAAAGTGTGTGTGTGCGCACGTTTGTGGAGGGTGGAGGAGGGTCGCAGGTTCGATGAACATATGTTAAAGCTTAGTTACTGCTATAGCGCGCTCTTGTTCTAGAGATATCTGCTCGCATCGCAACAGGCATTGGACGCACGGCCTTGTTGCGAACAATCCAGGAAAATGATTCGCTACCGCTACAGAAATGATTGATTGGTTGATTGATTGATATGTAGAGTTCAACGTCCCAAAACCGCCATATGGTTATGAGTACCTTAGCCGAGTACCTTAGCCTCTAGACTATATTGAGGGGGCACCACAACAGAGTTCCCAGTTATCATAAGCCCGAGCTTTAAAATATACCGATGCACTTTATGACGAAGTGTACAATTGCGTGTAGTTAAGTATTGCATGGGGTATATCACAATATGGAGTATGTCACTCTATTTTTCGGGTTCTTCCTAATTGCACAGAATTACAACGCGAAAATTCTAGATAACTTTGCAAAACATCCGGTTAGACTACTTCTAACTCTCTCTTTATTAAGTATTAGCGTGTTTTTTTTGCTCACGACAGATGCCAGCAAAATACAAAGGAAATACCGCGTCACATACGCGCTTACGCGCATTATTGCATCGATTCCATACGTTCCGTGTGAAAAAGACCACAATAATAAGCCTAGTGTGCTGCTTCGGTAGGCGGTAGCGATTGTAGCGGCTCTGCCGTTGCGCACGTTTTGCTAGCGAGAACCCAAGCGATATATACCCACTGCGTCTGCTTATCGCTGTCGTGAAACATCGAGAGGAAAGCGCATCGTTTGCACGCAGAACGTTCGGGTTTAGTGTACTAGAACGGAAGAGTTCGCGGAATGACCTTCGAAACGTGAAGCCCGAACAGGGTCAAGCTGCTTGGAGCGCTGCAATCGCTTCTCTGCGTTGTGTCGTTTGAAGCGTTGTGCGCAGCTTCGCCAAAGTGTGCAGAAGTTGAATGCCCGTTTCCCCCTTGAAAGGCCCAGGTTCAAATCGTACCTACGGATGTTGAGTTTTTATTTTGTGAGTGTAGCTCAAGTCGATCTACAATGTTTGTCGATAATTTTTGTTTAAAGTTTCGTTGCTTCAAAAGTAAATTACGCCTAACTAGACCATTAGGTGGAAAATAAAAATAGTATGATTAACTCCAGATAATAGTTAGGAAGATGTATTTGGTCGCGTTGTCATAAGGTGCATCGTCACATTTTTAAACTTTGGCTAGGAATGGCTTCCTGTATATGAAGCCAGCCCAAACAAGACAGATCAGAGGATGGTGGAGTCTGGAACAGATTAACGTGCTTGACTCCGCCGCGGTGGTCTAGCGGCTAAGGTACTCGGCTGCTTACGCGCAGGTCACGGGATCTAATTCCGGCTGCGGCGGCTGCATTTTCAATGGTGGCGGAAATGCTGTAGGCCCGTGTGCTCAGATTTTGGTGCACTTCGAAGTGCCCCAGGTGGTCAAAATTACCGCAGCCCTCCACTACGGTGTCTCCCACAATCATATGATTGGTTCGGGACGTTAAACCTCGCTCATCAATAAATAAGTCAATCAATCAGTCAGTCAATCATTCAGTGAATCAATCAAATCAGGTTTACATGGCTGAACAGGGTGTGTCACTGGGACGAACATTTGGACGAGTGCTGTTGTCTTATTATTTCCTTGAAGAGAAGACAAAAGAACTTTTCGAAACGTTCGCTCTAGTGACACCCGAACTTCAAGAACTTTTATCGCATCGAGGCAGTGCGCCCTGTGACGACGATTTGCGCATCGAATCCCAGGTGGCCTTCGCCGTGGGCCAGAGGTTTCACGGCACGTATCTCAGCGAGGGTGCTGGTGGCGCCTCGTTCAGCGCGTTCCTGTCATGCATCTCGAACGCCTCGCTCGCCGCCCGTCTCAAGGATGCCCCTACGCTGTTTGCCGAAGTGGTCTCCCTGGGCGCCGTAGTCGACACGTACCGCAACTCCAACGATCGCCAGCGCCTCGTCCACATGGAGAGCTTGACGGGCGATCAGCTGCTTTTTGTCGCCATGTGCTACGCCCGGTGCGTAGGCATCCACTACGCAGTCCATGATTCGGCGTGCGACGCGGTGCTACAGAATGTGCCGGAGTTTTCGGAGGCCTTCAGTTGCGCTCGGGGATCACCCATGAACCCGCACCAGCAGTGCAAGCTTTTGTGATGGCGGCCTCTTGCCTGGAAGGCTTACACCTCACACGACAACACGAAGTGATCGGTGCATATCCAAAAACGCGCGCTTAACACCGTTTTCATTGATGCGCTAGACATTTTACCCAACGTTCCAACGAGTGCCGATTGTAGCAGGACACGAGGCGTGGAAGTGAAGTGAGGACACATTTGCATTTCACTCACATGGCACACTCCGCGTGCTTGAACAGATCACCATGCTTTTATTGAGAATGCGGGCCGACTGAGGTTCGCTTGAGTGTTCGAACAGTAATGGTAACACGATAACGATTGCATCCCGACTTCAACGTGAGTTGGACGAGCCAAAAGTGCTCCCAAGTACAGTGTGAACACTATGGGTGTCGGCTTTGAGCATGTGCAAATGCCTCGCTGACCTCGTTTCCGCAGAAATAGCCACTTATAGAAAAAAAATCATGTGCATTTTAATAAACCACTGCGAAGTGATACGACCGAACTTTCTCCGCCTATGAGTGCGATTTTTCGAGGTTGATCGTTAGTGTCGAGATGTTGCATGGCAGGAACAAAGAGAGAGAACGTTTTATTTAAAATATTTACACCAAACATGTGGAAGGGATCCATATAGTCTGGGTTTCCTATGATGATTGTTACAGAGAAAACGTGGACAAAAGCGAAGACGTGACCGTCGAAAAGCTGTAAATGCATCAACTTAACCAATCTTCCCAAACGCACTTCTTGGTAGCAACAGACATCTTGGGGCTGCTTTCATGAAGCGACATGTATTTACGTATGTTCTGATTCTAGCCCCGCCACTGTGGTCTAGAGGCTAAGGTACTCGGCTGCTGACCCGCAGGTCGCGGGATTGAATCGCGGCTGCTGCATTTCCGATGGAGGTGGAAATGTTGTAGGCCCGTGTGTTCACATTTGGGTGCACGTTAAAGAACCCCAGGTGTTCGAAACTTCCGGAACCCTCCACTTCGGCGTCTCTCATAATCATATTGTGGTTTTGGGACGTTAAACCCCACAAATCAATCTGCGTTCCGATTCTAAACGTCTCGCACCGTGTCAGTCATGAGTATCTTAGTAAATGAGCGTGCTGCCATGCCTAACTGCAACCAAGTGCGAAGATAGTGGCTAGATGATGCAATTGACTGAAGTGTGAATCGCTGCATTGCGAAAATTTTGCACAGCTCATACTGCGCAGTCGCCGCAACGGCCATCGTGACGTTCCACCGCATAACGTCAGCGGGGCTGACTTGCCTTTCGTTGCGAAAATTATGGTGGGCTTTTTTTTTCTGGGATATTTGTATATTTTTCATTTGTTGCGAAACCTATTGTCATGGTGGAAACGAGGCATGCAAGACAAGCTCCGGCGTAATAGGCATGACCCACCTATAGTATGCCGATGCCGCATTGAGAAGATTTAATTTTGCAGAAATTGTTCCTCTTTGCACAGCCTTACAAGGCACAAAGAAAGGACATGTTTTTGGCGTGTGTAGCTTAAAATGAAGCAGTCACATGCCGTTTGACTGCTATGGACATTGTACGTACGGTATAGGAGCCACCACAGTCGCGCGCTGCGTCCAGTGCCACAGCTGCCACGACAGCATCTGTTCGTGCGATTCAGGAGAAGACCAGGCAAGCGGCGGCAAGCAACTGCGCCACACTCTGGTGCTTCGCTTTAGACGTTTTCGTTCCCGTTAGCTTTTAGAGATGCTAAATTGTTAGCAGCCATGAGAGAACCGTGCTATTAGCGCGTGTATTTTCTTTTTTGCCAGAATTCACGTGCCCTCATGTGAACGCTGCTGCATCAAAATCTTTACGAAAACGAGAACGGAGGCGACAAGGGCGTGGAGCAAAGCTGCGCGCCTGTAGCATGCGGCAGCAATCTCTGGGGCACCTTGAAACGGATTACAGCAGCGATTGCACTGTCACGGCCGCTGCAGAGGTGTTATCGCCGAGCGATGTCTTACGCTATGCTAGTATTATCGTCCGATACTCGCGACTGGCTGATCACGCTGATAACGAAGACGGAACGTCGTTCTGACCACTCACCAAGTGCGAGAAGCATTGGCAGCGGCCATGGCATTGACATCGGAAAAGTCGTCGTTCCGCGATTGCTCGCCTGTCCGAGCGGCTGAGAACATCTTTTCAAATCTGCGATTGTTGCCACTAGACGCGCCTCCTTGAGTTAAGTTTGTGTGCAGCCTAAAGGGCAGCAGCTGAGCCCGTGCGGTGACCGACCCGAACAGTGCCATTTTTTTTTAATGGTCTGTCCATGCTGTTGGCCACGCGTAACACTTGGTTCCACCGTATAGAGCTGGTAAATGCTGCGTCGGTTGCCGAAGTTCATGTTACGTGCGTGACATCAAGCCTAAAAAATTGCCCGCAGCTTCCCTCGGGGGAACACTGAGGAGGATGCGGAGCATATAATTGGTTAACGGGGTGTTAAAGTGCGACTTACTTGGGTCTATGGCTAAATTGGTTAACGTGGTTGTAGGAGGGGGTGTTAAATGAGTGAACACGTACACACGTATGCGAAAGGGCGGCGCTGGTCGAAGGGACGTCGATCATTGTGTTTGTGGATTCGTTGGAATTCATTTCACGCGACCTTGGACGTCGACGTGCTGTACAAACCAACCGACGAGCGGCAACTGAGCGAGCGAGCGCCGACCTTGAGTATATATACCGCGCGACGGCGCATGCACTGTCAGCTGTTGAATGTTCTCGAAGCGCGACGCCACATGCGCGTCCACTGGAGAATCAGGAGAATTGTAGATGTCGAACGCGGTGTGTAGAGGAGGAAGGGTGCACAGATGGTGGAGGAGTGAAGCGTGCGCGGTGTGTAGAGGAGGAAGGGATGCACAGATGGTGGAAGAGTGGGCGACGGCGCGACGGCGCATGCGCGTGCGTCAGCTGTCGAATGTTCGAGAAGCGGTGCGGACGGCGCGGACGGCGCACTACAAGGCGCGAGTATAAGATGCTTCCGCATCTAAAAATGCTAATTCACAATATGATTCCGCTGCCGAAAATTTATGATACGTTGCTTCTAGGCGCGCTGGCTGCCACAGCGGGCGTGTTTGGAAGCGGCAGATTCCGCGTCAACCATGAAGTGAAGCAAGTTCTTAGATCGTGGACACGTAGCCGTGTAGGTCTTGAAAGGTTACCATGACACTGTGTGCAAGCCCGAAAAAAGAAAGCGATGACCAAAGACTAAGTTCGCGGGACCAAACGCGTGTTATTGTGGTGTGAAGGCAGCAACGCGTCGTTTCATCATTTCTCGAAGGAAGTAGAGAGTGCCCAAAGGAGAACGACGTGCATGAGAAACTCGTGGTAACTTCTTTGTCTTCGGTGAGTAGACCATTAACTTCTGCTTGTCAGTTATTTTATATCGCAAAGAACAGTGTGCTCTAGTTCAGGCAAGTTCTTTATGTACGGAATTATGTTAAATTTAGTTAGGTTCCCTCTCTGGACCAGCCTTTGTGTAGCTTATGATCAAATTAAGCAACGAGAATATTATAGCTGATGTTCTCTTGTGTATGCCGACAGTGTGTTATTCTGCGTGGCTTGTCGGAAGTTAATCTTCTCTCAAGAAATTTAGAAGTAACTGCACATAGCGCTTTCTTTAGCTTTTAGAGTGCCCCGATGGAGGCGCAAATGTTGTAGGCTTGTGTAAACAGATTTGGGTGTACGTTAAAGAACCCCAGGTGGTCGAAATTTCCGGAGCCCTCCACTACGGCGTCTCTCATAATCATGCGGTGGTTTTGGGACGTTAAATCCCACAAATCAATCAAAGCTTTTGCAGTGCTCGACCAATGCCTCCTCTATTTAGATACCCGTCAAGTGAGAACCAATAAAGCTGCCACACCCTTTCCCTCCTTCATTTTCGATTACTGTCGGTCTTTAGCGTCACCTGTGGCGGACGGTGCAACAACTCGACATTTCGCATAGCCTCCGAAATAGTCGTATATAATTGCAGATTTCCAATAACTTTTGACTGACACGCCCTGAGGGGCCACAAGTTAAAAAAATTGCTCGCAGCTTCCCTCGGGGGAACACTGAGGAGGATGCGGAGCATATAATTGGTTAACGGGGTGTTAAAGTGCGACTTACTTGGGTCGATGGCTAAATTGGTTAACGTGGTTGTAAAATGGGGTGTTAAATTGCGACTTACTTGGGTCGATGGCTAAATTGGTTAACGTGGTTGTAGGAGGGGGTGTTAAATGAGTGAACACGTACACACGTATGCGAAAGGGCGGCGCTGGTCGAAGGGACGTCGATCATTGTGTTTGTGGATTCGTTGGAATTCATTTCACCGTGACCTTGGACGTCGACGCGCCGTACAAACCAACCGACGAGCGGCAACTGAGCGAGCGAGCGCCGACCTTCAGTATATATACAGCGCGACGGCGCATGCACTGTCAGCTGTCGAATGTTCGAGAAGGGGGAGAAGCGCAACGGCGCATGCGCGCGCGTCAGCTGCCGATGTTCTCGAAGCGCGACGGCGCATGCGCGCGCGTCAGCTGCCGATGTTTTCGAAGCGTGACGGCGCATGCGCGCTACATTATACAGCTAGCGAATGTTCGTGAAGAGGAGAAGCGCACGCGGTGTGTAGAGGAGGAAGGGTGCACAGATGGTGGAGGAGTGAAGCGCGCGTGGTGTGTAGAGGAGGAAGGGATGCCCAGATGGTGGAAGAAGGAGAAGGAAGCTTGAGGACGGCGCCGCACTACAAGCCTCGAGTATTAGATGCTCCGCATCTAAAACACCGTGATAATAGTGTCGGTCGCGAGCGCCACGGCGCGGCGCTTGCTCAATACTGACTCCGCCGGCAACACAAGCCATTCGTCAGGCATCTTGATAAAGGAGGCGTTAACGTGACCTACGTACCCCGCTTCTGGTTTGCTTGCTGAGGTTGTGCGTGTAAATAAATTCCCTTACGATTTGTTAATTACCAAAAAATGCGCATATACTCACGGAAACAAATTTGCTCAAAATAAGTAATTGCTAATTTATGCA